TACAAAAAGTTCAAGTTATTACAATATAATCACAGACAGATAGATAGATAGATATGTATCACAATATTATTTTGCATCATAAACACACAAACAATAATCATGAATAATAATAAGTAAGAGTTTAAGAAAGCATAAATTTAAAAAAAGATGTGAGATCAAATAACTCTAAAATAAATATAAATTTCGCAAAGTGATTATTGAATGTTTAAATTTAATGCATTTAGAAGTGTTTAAATTAATAAGAATTTAAAAATGATTAAAAAAAAAAATTAACTCATCAAAAATACCAAGTTCAAATGATGATCGACTCTTGTTATTCACATAGTTTACATCTGTTTTCCAATAACACAATCAGCTCTTATCTCTTGATTAAGTTTCGAAACGCTACCAATTCGATTCATTGTACATTCGAAACGTCCGATTGGTTGACAATTAGATTCTTTACACATTTTCATGAAATTATTATATTCTAGTGATTTAAAGCGCCAAGGTATTGAGAATGGTGTTAAATGATTAACATACTGTAATAAACAAATAAATTTCATTAGATTAGTTAGTTATTATCAGTATGTGAGAGATTTGAAGAGAGATTGTCAAATTCTAATAGTTTAAGGCACGAATTAATCTCAACCAAACGACAAGTAGACACTGAACAATTGTTTTATGAGTGTGGAACTTTTCAACGGTAAAAATGCAAAAGCACCTCCCAGTCCACAGTTAACTGAACCCAAAACTATCGATCTCGCGTGAGAACCCTTAACCTGTAGACCATTGAACCGGTATCCGATGGTTCACATGTTCAACTTCAATCATCTCAAAATATTACGTGGCTATTTTGGATTGCCTGCGATGGAAAACTGTCTGAAACATAAGTGGAATCCACTGTTCACAGACCCTCACTAGAACACCAGTAATAACACCTTGAAGCTAGTCACGAGTAAACATATGATAAGTATTAGTTCAAGGTTTTGAAACTCTGCTGGCACCAAGCCCAGATAAAGAAGGGTTAGCGAATCTACCCCTTTGAAAAAAAATTGATAACAAGACGCTAACCATAAAACACGAAATCTTTTAGTTCAATTTGAAATAGTTTGGATTATTCCATTGTTGATATTTTCATTAGTCTTTGTTGTCAATATGAGCATCCTTTGCGGATTGCCTCGGCATATGACGAATTTATATAGAATGTATAGAATGCGACTAGTAGTGGAATCCAGGACCAGCGTTTCGTCCTATTATGGATTTGAACTCAGTCTATTGACTTTTACAATAAAATCCTCACAAAATGCGATTGTGTAATAGGATTCACTAGGCTGAGAAATGGAGACAGACATGAGAAGAATGAACCGAGATTGGACAGAACTGGAAAGGAAGGCACAGGACCGAGCAGGTTGGGGAATGCCAGTCAGCGGCCTTTGCATGATTGAAGGTAGCAGGCGTATGTAAGTACTTACATAAGTTTAGGCATTCCTTCACCGAACAATGAGCAGCCCTGGGACATAATGAATTCCTATCATACTGCGAATCTTATTATTATTACATTCTCTAAACTAATGACAATGGAGTAGTAAGGATAAACTTACAGCTTTAGTGATTCTATTGTCCAGAAGGTAACCAGCTAAGGATTCAATAGTTTCATTGACAGTACTGCATAATTTGTCCGTGGTACCTGTTTCTAGGATATTATTTTTAGTAAAATCCTCAGAAATCTGATGATAATCTTCTACTGTGGGAGAACTACGTGATTTCAATTGACGACGATTATAAAGTTGATTCTGACCATTTGTAAACGAATTACGTAGCGCTGGACGTCTGGATACATGGGGTTTTAAAGCACAAACATAAAATCGCATATTAGATAATTCATATGTTATCGGCTCATTGCAATGTATATTTTGATTGCAGTATATTTCCGGTGTTATATTTGAATCTGGGTCAGCATCCACACAAGTAATGTTTAGACTGATGATAGTGCTAAAGATAATAAATAAATAAGAATGAAAAAAGATACAAAACGTTTTAACTTTAGTTAAGAAGTATTGTGGTGTGAGCTACTTATAAGTAGTATATGACGTGAGTGTCAACGTAATGTCTGGCAGCAGAAGATGGGGGAAGATCAAGGAAGGAAGAGTTAGAAAACAATGGAATTTGTATGAAACGCATGAATAGTGACAATGGATTGATGTTTTGCAACAGAAACACTGCAGTTCAATATGATGGACTGATATTTTGCAAATTAACGATTTACGATATGGTTTTCCAATTTTACTGAGTAACGCTGTAATTTTCGTTAAATACAATTCGGTTGCCCCACCAGTGTTCTCGTTCACTACAGTATATTTCATAAAGTTGCATTTTTCTAAAAACATTACACACAAATAAATGAGCGATCGTGCTGACTACTTTGTCTCACAGAGGAATAATGACCTGAAACGTATGACAGAAAAAAATTGACCAACGGATTACCAACCTATACATTAAATGTACTCTACCACAAATATTAGCGTTTTCGAGCAATATCACGCTTTTATGATTCAAGTTTTCTGTCAGCCAATCTCCTGTCGTTCGGTATGGCAAACATTAACTAGTTTTCACACCGCGTGTCATAAATAACGATGACTGTATCTTGCCAACTTATTGCAGATAGACGATTCGTATTCTTGTCAATTTTATTTGACATGTTTGCGACCGTAGCTGCTACCTTGAAGTAGTGGCCGGACCTGTCTATTGTGATGACCCAAACGAGCTATGTTGGTAGGTTCTACCATGCCAAGCAGATCGATTGGAGAACGGTAAAACTAAGAGTTGCAACTCCAGGTCTGAGGGCGAAGTCGTAATGCTGAGTGAAGAGGGGTGTGACGTTAGTAGGGTGCTTCCCTTGGACAACCAGCATCTGCAGGGATGCTGCATTCTCACAAAAGAAGTAAAGGGTTAGGAAAGTTCGATCGTAAAAATATCACACCCCACTTTACCCCATAAATTCCCGTCTCCGACGGTAAGACCATTTAAAGAGCGGAGCCAACATGTTATCTTACTACAAAAAGGCTGTACGCGACCGACCTCAAGCAGTTGTTCCTTGGACACTGCTGTCACGCCTCCAGGTCTCTGTGACCGACACTAATCCAACCTCTTTTGCAGGTTCCTCAAGAATTGCCTTTCCACGGTATGCGCAGTCGGGAAATGACATCCACCCTTATACTCGTAACAACACATGAGACCTAACTAGTCAGAATCAAATCCCCCATATACATCTTAATAAACATCCTACCTCCAAGACCGAAGATTGTCACGTCCCTTAATCACTCCGTGCCGCTAATGCAAACGATCCGAGTTCACGAAACGTTATTACTGATCTCCTGAAACCCCGTTTTGAAATACATGTCCAAGCTTTTAATGTCAACAAACTTCCTTAGCTAGGACTTAAGAATCTCACGCTATCGATGTATGCTGTATCTCCGAAATGCTCACAAAAAATCTGAGAATAGTGAATAATTAGACTTCACTTTGTCCAGAGACAGAGCCGACTCGGTTTACGATTCGTGTATTTGGAAGCCCTGCTTCCCGTGGCCTACTAGGTGAAGGTAAAGCAATGAGTCCTAAGGCTAGCTCCTTTACACTGGATCCCAGAATATAGTCGTTTGTACGCTGTCCGATTAGACGGGCCATTGATGTAGAGGTTCGATAACAGACTGTCGCTTGCCCTAGAGCACATGTTTACATTCAGATCATGCTCTAATGCAAACGAGGGTAGAAGCAGACCCTGACACGCTTACCTTGAGATATTTGACGAGGATGGTCCACTTTTAGCACTTAGAATGATTGAGATCTGTGAAACATGGCCAGTAAGAGTTGAGGATATTCTCAGGTTACTAGTACTCGATCATAATTGTCTTCGAAGCATTGCTCGTATATCCTTGGTCTATCGAGTAAGCAGTTCTGTTGTTACAAAACGGAAACTAAGTAAGGATGGCAGATGAATAGATGAAGTAATGAAACTTCATCAGTTGAGGTGGTTGAGACGCATAACCTGGTTTGTGTGCAAATCAGTTCGTGGAAGAGGTTTGAATGTAGCATAATCGATCACTTGCTTGGATCCATTAATACCAAATGTTGCCTTAATACGGAACATCCAAAAACATTATTTCACTTTGGCCATAATTCAGAATTGTGCACGGTTTATTATGAAGCATAGACTACATACGAGAACCAACCAGTTGATACACATATTCAAGGTCAGATAAACAGTATGAAGTATATATTCATCTAAGTTGTATTGTATTTTACAATTCTCACAAATTGAATTCAACGATGTTTCACAGCTACTACTAATTACCGTTTTTATTAAATAGAAGTTAACGGTGAAAAATTCTTTCAACAAGTAAAACGTAAAAAATTTTTGATTAAATTTGTCAACTATTATTTTTTGTTCACATTCGACAGCTGTTTATCGAAAATGAGAATATTAGTATGCAACACAGAATGCATTATAAAGCCTTTATGATATGAGAATGAACTAGATATAATTTAGTAAATTCATTCACCTGAACCTTAACTACTTTGTCACAGGTTTAAATACGGTTGTTTCTGATAAGTCATCATAATGACATGTATTGCATGTTTGTTATTTCTTAAGCTTGTGCAAAGTTTGTGAACTACCGGATTTTATTCACATAACCTGCCACGTAAGTTACCTGTAATACAGGAATTCGATATTCTTACTAGTGAACACTGATTGATGAAGTATGAGTTTTTCATTGATAGACATTCTAAACTGTGAGTTTTCATAAATAAGCATGTGGCAAAAGTTGGTATATAAAAGTCATGTGAGCTTTTTCTGATCAACTGCTAAACGATACAAATAAACGAATAGTATTGTTCCAAATTAAATCGACATCAGACTTTGATCTAATATACATGAATAATTATATGCTGATGTTAAACTAATCAAGTCTATTTACTAAAACAGCCAGGGTTGATGTCATCTAGAATTTAGAACTTATGCATATCAGATCAAGTTGCCATACTACATTCGCACAGAGATGCAAAAATCATTTCGGTAATGGAGAAGACTAGGGTTCGAAAATATTATTCAAGAAGCACCATTGCAAACGATTTTGAGCCATGTCGTTCAAGGTCTCCCACGATCTGTTACTACTGCATCGCGGACCCCAACCAGGTAGTCTAAACTTACCAATATGACTCAGCCCATTTGCCAGTGACTTTGTAGAATTGTACCACGTTTTGGTTTGGCCGCCCCTAAGTTTCTTCCAGCCTACCACAAAACAGTGCTGGTCGAGACGGTTGGTGGTTGGGCATACATAACACATGTCCCTACCACCTCAACTGATGAAGTTTCATTACTTCATCTATTCATCTGCCATCCTTACTTAGTTTCCGTTTTGTAACAACAGCATTGCTTAGTCGATAGACCAAGGATATACAAGCAATGCTTCGAAGACAATTATGATCGAGTACTAGTAACCTAAGAATATCCTCAACTCTTACTGGCCATGTTTCATACCCATAGAGTAGGGCGGAACATTTTGTCAGCGTCTTCATCAAACAGAACTAAATCATCTGCGTATTCTAAGTTGACAAGTGAGTCTCCCGGAAAAAAAATTCAATTTGTGAAAAATCAGACGAGGAAATGGTTATCGTTAAAAGCAAGTCCATGACAAACTTCAATAAGAATGGAGACAGAATTGATGAGACCACCAAGATAAATGACGTGGTCGACGTGCTCAATTCGTCTACTCGCCAAAGTCAGACCAGAAGTTGACGAAGCTGAGCTCTGAAGCAACATTCTGGACTTCAAACAGGATTATTGAATCTCAATAATTTATGAATCGTTACTTAAGGTGTTTGTTTAAATGATAGCATCCTCTCCAGCATTTCAGGAAATGGTATGCATTAACATCAGTTAATAAGATGCTTTTATATATATATATATATATATATATATATATATAATTAATATAATTTGATCATTGTCTACTTACTATGTTTTATTAGGTAAAGGATATATATTCAAATTGAATTCAAGCGGTTTGATAACTTCCACTGGTAAAATACAATAATGTCCACTAGGCATTGAAAGAGCAAACTAAAATATAGAAAAAAAAACCTTTTTAAATGCAATGAATATTTATTTTTAAAGCAGAACTTAACTCAGTCATCCCATCTCCATTTTACAGAAATTATTAGTAGGACTTCTCTGAAAGAACTTGACAATGCACGATTGTACAAAGACATTCAAAGTGAAATCAATGGCTTCCATCTATTCTTGGTTGGATAAGTGTGTGTGTGTGTGTGCTTAATGCTGAGGACTCTTGGTACATGTGTCTAGAGTCTACACAACACTAAGTCAAAATATGATTTTACTAATTTTCTTGATTGTAAAGCGATGTGAAGCGCATGGAATTTATGAAACTTAAATTTCGATTATGAATGTTTGCATATATTATATAGAAAGTCGATATATACAGATACATCTATCTTACTTGATCATTAGAAGATGTAGCAGATAAATATAATGGTCTACTTAATTGTAAACAACATCCAGGTGGAAATGTTGGCATAGAATGATTAACTTTACAACTTGAATCACGGATTGTTGTAGATGGAGTAAATTCTCGTATAAAATCAACTGGTCCATCTTCTAAAATAAATTGACTAAACAAATTGTGATGTTTTATCAGTGAATTTTCATCTTGATAATTTTCCAATGAATTAGAAATTAATGAATAATCATTTGCTCTAAATTGACTACTCATTCCATAACCACTAGCGACAGTGGGATAGCCATTATTGTTTGATAAATTTTCGCTTTCATTATTGTTATTATGAGGCTTGATGAGAGTTGTTTGTGTTGCGTTCAATTGAGTATTTTCTGCTTTATTCTTGACTACTAGCTTTTTATCATTTGAACGAATACGATATAGACTTGTGCTTAACTTACAGTCTTCTGGTAAGCCAAGTTTGCCCAATTTCAATCGAACTGGAATTGGTTGACATGTACCAAACACAACTGCGGATTACAAATGAAAAAAAAAACAGGAACGTACTTCAGATTAATTAAATTAAGTTTGAGTTTGAAAAGTATTCACATAGAAGCTAATTAATATTTGAGGCATCAGTATAGTGAATAGCTAAGTAATAGTTCAGACAATTCAACTGGTAAATTGATCTCTAGGCATACTACCGAAAAGTTTCATAGCAAGAAAGGATAAACATTGTTAGCAGATGTCTAAATAATTTTGCTACAGTCGGTGATGTATTGATCGAAGGAAGATGTGTCTGGTTAATGAGCAACGATACATATATTCGGGGCCACTAAACAAACAAGACTATTTTAGACATAACACCGATCCATACCTTGTTGTAACTGTTGACTGCTTTGTCTGTTGATAAGCTCATATTCTGGAGTAATCTGGTTCTAGATCGTATTTTTTAATGAGTCGTGGAGTCAAATTGTTGAGTATTTTGTTTGACCTATTGATATGATTATCAAGTATCTATTATTCAGGATGAGACCTACAAAGCTTGTTCCTACGATTATAACAGTCGGGCAAACAGATATACAGCTCGACATTATAAACAATGTCTAGTTGTTACCAACATTTTTACGTGGTTTACTTTGTTGATTTCTTCAATTTGTATGTGTTACGCCTGCACGTAAACACGTCAACTTGATACACCTGAACTATTACGAGTTTACCTAGTCGGAAAACAAGAGGGAGGATCGAGGATCAGGTGACACGACATACTACTCAAATCCGATTATCCCAACCCCATATTTAGTAAAAATAAGAAGACTTGATATGAAGTAGAACCTGTATTCTACAAGCATCCAGAAGTATGAGGTCCGAATCCAGAAGAGAATCATGATTCCGGACTAGGGATCCGGGACTGAGTCCTGGTTCTGGTCGTGGTCAATAAACGTTACAGATAATGCGTATTTATACATTTTGGTCGAATAGGAAACAGCATCGAATTCTGTGGCATTGACAGTCCGGATGACCAATAAGAGACAACATTGAAGTATTTGACTTTGACAGTTAAAACGACTATAGTTTTGACCAATAATTCTCTTAGGATATTGGATGAATATCCTAACAGTGTGCCTGATGTTTATGTAGGAAATACACTGAACATTACAACTTCATCTTCGAACTTTAGGTTGTTTCTGTTAGTCTAGTTAACTATCCAACGGACCTGCTTGAAATGGTACGAATTACTAAAGAAACGAATGTTCCACCCAATTTAGATTAGTCGTGTCGCCATTACATACAAACCTGATCACCTTGTCAAGTTGAAAGCATAAAAATATATGTAATATTTCCTACCTTTAGGAAATTATGTAGACAATATGCTTACCTGGATGATGTTTATTACTTGCATTGTTGGATACAGCAATTTCCGGTTTAGGTAACAATGTCTTCATTAGTTCAGTATCACGCCAACTAGATCCATACACATCATCATCTATAAATGATACAAAATTTATTTCTGAATAATTATTCATTGTCGACTTCATGGATTGTTGTTCTCGCAATGCTTCTTTTAATTCTGTGACGATTTCATCAAGACAATTAAGAAATATTTGTTCAGGAATTAAAATCCCGGTACCTATAAAATTGTATGATTATAGTGTGTATTAATAAAGTATATGGTAAAAAAAATAGTTAAGATAAAATATTAACAAGATTTGAATAAAAAATCTTCTGTTAAGGACATTTTCTTGACCCAACACACTTAATAAACAATATTATGGTGTACACATGTATATTATGCTTTGGAAAAATATGAACTAATGCGTAAACTGTATTGATGTTGTAAGCTGTTTGAGAATATAAAAGACAAATGGAAACACAAGTGCAGAATATTTTGTGTTGAAATTTCAAAAAAAAATAATGCATATTATGAATTTTAGACATAGAATGAAGCATTAGACTTGGATTATGTAAAAAAGTATTTAAATGTGATCAACTTGTCGTCACTCAATAAAAAAAAGCTTTAATTTCTCATTCTGAACACAATGATGACAATGATAAACGCTTCAATCGATTAAAAGACATTAGTGACTCTTCATTCAATGGGAAACTACATTTGAATAATACACTCTGGACGAAATTAAGATGAACTTGAGAAAGATTGCCTACTCTGCACGATCAAAAACGACCTAAACACTGTTTACAAAAATGTCGTTGATTATCAAGAAAATTCTAGAACACTGTACAAACTAGAACATACACTACATGATAAATTGAATGAATTAAAAATAAAAGAACAAACAACCAGGGGATTTGAAACATAAAGAGAATGTATAGAACATGTAAGCAAAGTGAATGTCTAATCCTCATTTAGGTAATGTGATAGAAACGTTGCTTTGAAATCACATTGTTTGACAGATATTTCCCAACTTTGTATATTTATTTTTAACAGTGAAGAAAATTAGCGATATCTTTATTATAGTGCCATACATATATAACTAACTATATTCAAAACATTAAAACAATTCAGGTGTATTTTGCTTCGTAAGCTTAAATAACTTAGATTAATCACTTGGTGACAACAGATAGTTGAAGGGAAACTTTGTTACCACAAGAAACACCAGTTGACCCTTTGTTAATGATTTTTTAATTAGCGATGAATCCGGGTCCACAGGGTTTTCAGTGGAGTAAATCCAATCATGTTGCAGTAAAATATAGGGCAGATAAAATCACCAGTTCATTAAACTAATGGTTATACAGTAGTTTGATTGATCAACTTTATGGACTAGACGAGAAATATATCATCCTGGTTAGTTAATGATTAATTGTTTCATAACTGTCTCATGGGCGTAATAGTAAATTCACAGGAAACAAACTGTAGTATGCTATACTACAGTTTATCTCAACCTAAACATTTTACTTATTCACGCTGAGAAACGCCAGCTGTAGAGCCGTCAGGGATACTGCCGGTCCGCAAGCCCGGATAAAGGAGGAAGGTTGGGAGGATGGTCTGGCAACCCAATCCCGCCAAAAAACTAACTGCTTCCCGATGCCTCACTGGCGTAAGTATAGTATTAAGTCATCGGATGCCGATAGACATTCGCTTATGCGCTATCTCACTAAACGGGACAGTACGGACTCAGAAGGATAGGGACACTCAACGTTGCCTCTTCGTCGTATCTGCCTACGCTCCCACTGACTGCAGTCCAGACGAGGTGAAACATGAGTTTTACAGAAAGCTTTCACACCTCCTCCTAAAAGTTTGGCGCTCTGATATAGTAATAACGGCTGGTCACTTCAATGAACAAGTAGGTAAGCTAAGTGAAAATGAAAGACACCTGAGTGGATCTTATGGTGTCGCCGCTAATAGAACAGATAGTGAAGACCGTCTGCTGCAACTACGCTCAGATAACGGCTTATTTCTAGCAAATACTAACTTTAAGCATAAGGAAAATCATCTTTCGACCTGGAGACCCCCAAAGTAGTCACAACGTTGGACTCAACTAGATCACATTGCCATCAGCCACCGAACGGAGTGGTTCGATAGAGGATTGTTGATCGTTCTGGGGAACATGTTTAGATTCAGATCATGTCCTAGTACGAGCGTGAACCTTTGAGCCTTACTGGACATAGGAAAGACAGCGCAAGGAAACCTCTTGAAGTTCTACTTATTGATGATAAGGCTAGGAATATATCTCAGGAGCGACTAGAAAGACAGTCAGGAGACCACATAAAGGATTCCCAACCGGAGGCAGCTTGGAATGATATCAAAAAGGCTCTGGAAATAGCAGTTATATATGCTATTAAGGTAAACCATAAGGCTAGGAAGAAGTCGTGTAGAAAGGATTTGATTTTGACCAATTTGGTCTCGCGTGCTGTTACGGCTATGAGGGCGGTTGTCACTTCCCGGCTTCCCACACCATGGAAGGTTGTTTCTTGAGGAACCTGAAAAGGAAGGTAGATTAGTGTTGGTCTTGAAGACCTGGGAGCGTGACCGCAGAGTTCAAGGGACAACTGCTTGAGGCCGGTCACGCACGGCCTTTTTATGAAAGGATTTTTGGGTATTAGCTCCGCTCTTGAAAGCCCTTAGTGGGCACCCTTACCCAAGGAGACGGAAATCCGTGAGGTAAGGTGAGGTGTGACATTTTTAAGGTCGACCATTTCTAACCCTTCCTTCCTTGTGAGAAGGCAGCATCGTTGCAAATGCTGGTTGTCCGAGGGAAACACCTTACTGCTGTCACACCCTGTTGCAGTCAGCAGTACGACTTCACCCTCAGACCTTGAGTAGCTGCTTTTAGTCTCACCGTTCTCCAATCTACCTGCCTGGCATGGTAGAACCTTCAGGACAGCCAATAGAGCTCGGTTGGATCATCACGATAAGCAAGCTTGATCACCTCTTCAAGGAAGCCGCTACGATCGGGAGTGGACCTTCTACCAGGAGATCCACTGGTTGACTTAGAATATGCCGATGACATAGTTCTATTAGGTGAAGACGCTGACCAAACGCAGAGTCTTCTGACTACCCAGAGCAACAATGCAAGCATGTTCGGGATGCGGTTTACCCCTCAAAATGCAAAATCGTGCTTCAAGACTGGGTTGAATCAGCACCTCAAATAGTGATAGGGAGTGAAATAGTTGAGCGTGTAGACCGCTTCACTTATCTGGGGAATCTCATCAGTACCGATGGCCTGGTGCCTGACGAAATCTCTGCACGGATACAGAAGGCTCGACTGGCTCTTGCCAAATTGCGTCACGTATGTCTTAGGCGAGACATCCACTCGCTGACTAAAGGATGAGTGTACTGCGCGGTAGTTCATTCCGTCCTACTATATGGCTGTGAAACATAGGTTGCTTGTCTTCGATCATAGGTGTCTTAGAAGCACTGCTCGTATATCCTGTGGCACAAGTCCATCAAGTCATTGATAGCTGGACTGAACCATGTTGGTAGTTGTATTTGACCATAGATGGAATTAAAGCATGACTACGTTGCTGAGCGCTGATTGGCTAATTTCCTATACAATCAGCGCCTGATCGATTCTTTGAGAACAGGGCGGAAAATTCTCGTATTGTTAGCCGCATGCTGATTGGCTAAATCTAATTCAATCGGTCACGTGAATTACAATCCAGAAGCTTCTCATGTAAATGCTATAAAGAAACTAACGTTGTATCTATTTTCGCCTTCGCCATCACCTTTGGCTTCGTATTTCCATTTAACCTTGCTATTTGGAATATAATCTTTTCCTGTTCCACCGTGTTTTTGATTTTTTGGAACTTGTCCAGTGTATTGTGGTCAGAGAATACTAAGCAATAGGATTTAGCTGGGAATTATCTAAGCAAGCGTTACAATACATAGTAAAATTGATTTATAACCCAATCAATTGGAAATGTATTCCGCAAAGATAACAATCATGTAACTAAATTAGAAAAAATTACAATGTTAATAGACTTACATTAGCGATAAAAGAGAATTTATTTAATCCAGGTTTTATCATAACAAACGATTCTTCATGATTTAACACAAAAAGTGGACATTTCGTTGTCAAAGAAGAAGTTGATGATTCTATAGTTTCATTTCCAAATATATTATGCCTTCCATTTATACTGAATGATAAACGTGATCGTTTTTTTGTTGGACAAAATGAATAACGCCTTGAAAATTGTGCTGAACTATGAATAGTTGGATCTGGAAAAGAGCAAAAAAAAAATAAACTGTAGATATGTGAACTTGAATAGTTCCATTGTAGGCCTTAATAATTGTACTTGATGAATAAGCTCTAATGTGATTTATTGCATGCATCCATTCCTGATTGAATGACTTTGATAATTTTTGCGCTAATAGCCGTTAATAGCATATCATCAGGTAACTTATTCAATGCACCAGTATTATTAGTTCGAGAAGCATAGAGAAAGAACTAAAAGTTATATCCATGTTACATACCACCACTATGTTTTGAACCAAATAGATATATATGTTATCATATCAACAAACAAGCATAGTTAGTTACACCGAGTGACTAATTCAAAAAGCATAAAACTAGAACTGAAGACATTAATGGAATCCAATAAAGAACTGACATATAACTAAATTAAAAATTTAATACTAATTATGAATAAATCGGTTAAAAAGAAACAACTATATAATGTTAGAATCTGATATACTATATTATATTATACTATACTAAACTATACTATACTGCTAAGGTGTAAAATACGACATCGATGAAAACCAAAGTTTGAAATTAATACAAAACAACAACATCAATAACAACAATAGATGGAATAGTTCACAATTGAATGATGAAGATAGGCGGACGGAGGATTGTGAAAAAAATAACTCTGACTAGTATGAGAATGACACAAAACAATGTAATCGGATGCATCAGGACAATATTTATTTATTCCTGTATAAATAAAATGTTTAAAAGAAAATAGAAAAAAAACAAAACAAAAAAGAGAATAATGGTTTATGAACAACACACACATTGAGCAGCACATGAAAATGTACACACAAAAAATGTTAGGATATTCATCCAATATCCTAAGAGAATTATTGGTCAAATCGTATTGGTCGATTTCTATTAGTCGAAAATATGGTCGTTATGACTGTCAAAGTCAAATACTTCAATGTTGTCTCTTATTGGTTGTCCTGACTATCAATGTCACTTCAAATGTTGCTTCCTATTGGTCGTCTTAACTGTCAATACCACAGAATTCGATGCTGTTTCCTATTCGACCAAAATGTATAAATACGCATTATCTGTAACATTTTATGACCACGACCAGAACCAGGACCCGGTCTCGGACTTCATATCAAGTCTTGTCTTCTTATGTTTACTCAATATGGGGGTTGGGATAATCAGATTTGAGTAGCATGTCGTGTGGCCGGATCCTCCTTCCTCTCTCTCGTTTTCCGACAAGGTAAACTCGTACTAGTTCAAGTATATCAAGTTGACGTGTTTATGTACAGGCGTACCAAAAGGGAAAAAACAAACAAGCAATCAAACTACTTATAATTCATACTGATTAACTACTCCTCCTCCTCCTCCTACTACTACCACTAATAAAGATTAGTTCGAAAGGGTGAATTCATTTGGGACAAATAAAATAAAAAAACTATCAAGTTATTAAGAAAAAGTTATGAATATGGGACAATTGTTTGATACAAGAAAGAAGTTCGCCGGAAATAATTACAAACTAGAAAGGCCATTGAAGAGGAAAGAAAGGCAAAGTAATCAGAAGCACTGAAGAACAGCGAGACAGGATGGGTGGAGGACTTAAAGGAGTTTTTGAATTGATCAGCCCCACTGACTCCAGCCAACATCGAAGCAGCACCCATGGACATCCCAGTCAATGTTGGCCCACGAACAACTGAAGAGATCAGCATGGCAATCCAAAAAATCAAGTGGTAAACCAATAGCACCACAGTTGTCAATACAAACATCAAGATACTTCTGCAATGTAGGGCAAAAACTTGGACAACTACGAAAGCTATCATCCACAAGATACATGTATTTATAAACAGATGTATACACTAAATACTTCGGATCCGTTGACCAACCATCATCAGAAACAACCTACTGAGGGACAGAACATATCACATTGCAGCAGTGGAAAAAATCAGAAAGAGGCATTAGAAGTGGATATGACACACATTGAAGAAAGCATCCAACTGCGTCACAATACATAAATGCCCTCACTTGAATTCCTCAAGGTCAACGGGAAAGAGGAAGACCGAAAAACACATTACGCCGAGAAATTGAGACAGATACGAGAAGAATGAACAACAACTGAGTGGAACTGGAAAGGAAGGCCCAGATGCTGGTCGGTAACCTATGCTCCATCAGGAGTAACAGGCCTAAGTAAGTAAGCAAGCGACAACATAGTTTTTCATGGAAACTGTCTTTTAATGAGATGTTGTTCAGTCGATCAACCTAAAACCATCACTGATGTTTAAAGATATAACAGTATTTTAGCTATTCATTGTTTGTGTTGTCAATGTTACCAGAAATGTTAGAATTGAAGCTGCGTGGATCGGTAAATTTCAGACTAAAATAGATGTTTTTCTGCGGCAAACAAGAAAATAGTTTAAGGTTGTATTTTACCTTATAACAAACAAATTTATAGTGTCAATGAAGAAAGTGAGAAAATAGATGGTTGAAATAAGCAACATGTGTAGAAACGATTTCTGTACAACAAAAAAAAACAGGAAACAAATATTGATCTAAATCTCTGAGTTAACCAAACGGCAGAGATCTAACAGATAGTACAACTGTCAGAGAAACGAATACATATAAATATATATAATGATAGAGCGCATATCTCCCCATATCAATTCTTTGCCTATTCTCTAATTGGTTGTTAACATTGGCAGCCAATAACTTTAGAGACATATTGATTAACACTTATAAAATACACAGACATGCTGTTCAATTATTGTGCATTGGTGTATTTTGTGGACTCCATTAATCGTTAGCAATACACACTAGTGTTCTGGTTTTCTAATCATTCTCAAATAAATTTATAGTAATACTAGGAGAATAAACCTGCGAAAGTACACCATTGATGAGTCAAAGTCAAAAATATTTAGTGGAAAAAAAACCCACTACATATGATTTTTATAAGAAATAAGCAAATATTCGGTCTACTCATGTGTTTCAATTGCACTAGATCTACACATTCAGCATAGTTCTCAAGTCATTTTATGGAAATTGTGTTTTACACATAATCAATCAAATAATATAAACATGTGCTTAATAACACTTCAATCATTCTCATGCTTACCGATTAAACCATCAGAAGGAATCCGTGTAATCTTGCCCTTGCGCAGCCTAGGTTGTATATGTGTCATCGAATGATTACTATCATTATCACTATCATCATTCATAACGCCTAGAGTATCTTGAGATTTCCATGCTGGTCTACTGGCCAATGATGCAGCGACATTTAACAATGAACCTAAACGTGATTGACTACTCAATTTACTAGTGATTGATTGATTTGCTTCAAATGTTAAACTTTTACTCAAAAATCCATTAGAATTATCTGGTATACTGGAATAACTTCGACAAGTTGACACAGTCACTCCGGTTGTTGGTAAATAATACTTACTGAATCGTTCTTTATCATTTTCCGAGCGAGTAGATAAATTAT